AATGTCAATGAAAAAAGATATTGACCCTGACCTGCCTCAAATAGAACCCCATCCACACTATCAATGAGTGATAAATTGTCTTCTTGAATCTATTAAAATATTAACTTGATTTTGCATAGTCTGTGGATAAATGTAAATGTTTCACCGACATTGCGTCTGCTCTGATTACACATATTCTTATATAGTAGACAGAATGTTTGTCAACACTTTCATTGGATATTTGAAAACATTTCAAAATTGACAGGTTTTTTTTTACATCTTTCCTCGAGATAGCGAATTCAAAATGTGTCTGGCACGATAAAGATTCCTCACTGCTCAAAGGCCTTCAGTGCTGAGTAAGGGTCTAAATTTGAAGTGTTTGTATGAGTGAAAATTCCCGAATGGGACGTGAAATAATATAAAATCAATTCTGTAAAAAGTCAAATATGTTCCGTAACGTTGAAAAAATTCCTATTTTTTATCCCCTAACGGTGAACCTAGATGGATCTTTGGGTTTCCTCCTCGTCTGTCTGTTTGTCTATCTGTTCACTGACTAGCTGTTTCTCCGTCTGTATTTCAGTCTGTTCCACATTGTTTTTTAATCGCTGTTTGAATTTTTTTGAAATATTGAGCTTATATTTGGTATGTGGTGTATTGATGAGTTACAAATCAAGTTTGTATTCCACTTGAATGATTTTTGTCGGAATAACGGCCTTTTTATTTTTAGAATTTTGAGTTTTTTTTACCCCCATTCTTGCAGATATTGAGCTATTCTTTTTAAAATGAATTAACGTTGATGACTGAGTTATTGATAAAGCTTGTTTAGTCTTCCTCTTCAAAGATTTTTGATGAATTTATGGAATTGCAAATTCAATGGGCACCAGATTTCACATGCCGGTAAGTAACATTTTGCTAATACAATATTCTCAAAATGGTTGTTCAAATGGACATTTTTTGTTATCATTTCGTTTACTGTACATGCTGATTAGAAAAACAGGTATTTCGTGGACTTTTCGGGATGGGGTGATTACCTGTACTTGTTGTAAAGTGAAGGAATCCTTAACCCTCTGTGTCAGACTTGTTGAAAGAACATTGGGTAATAATCTAATTTTGCAGTTGACCAAGGAGGTATTTTTTATATATTAAATTAAATTATAAAAGTGATATCTAATATGACCCCTTTATACAAAATATCGGTTAATAATTATCAATAAAAATACTGATGAACTGGATAAATGTTTGTAAGAGTTAAATTCAGGAGATGGTTCTCAATTAAAATAAAGTACGAACTGTTATATGTGTGTTTAGAACTGCATTTCCTTGATGATTGCCTGTAAGTTCAAAATTAACGGTAAAACTGTTTAACGAATTGAAGTAAGATGCAGGCCAGTTTTTTTTCACTTTGTTAGGTCATTGTGTTTAAAGCATCCGTAGATGTATAAGGAGCGCAAACGAAATAAAGAGCATTTTAATGTACAGCAGCTTTCTTAATGTCAGAGTATACGAGTTTAAGAGATTATGCCACACATTACCCACGATATATTGATGTCCAGGCTTTCATCATTCACTGCTGCCTATTTCAATTAAAATAGATTCCATAAAACTAACCTCATTATTGGTTATTTGCAAAACTGTTTGAAAATATACTGATTGTACACAAAAGTAATCTGAAATTTATATCAAAAGATTTGATTTCTGATTAAAATATCTATATTGGTACACGCAATAGTAATAGTTTTCTCATGTTTACTTATTGTGTTCCATTATGAGCAGGCCTATTTTTGTATTCAAATCAGACAGAATTTATTCAAATTCATGCATATGATGTAAATATTTGACAACGTATACTCGACAACGAAATATCAATAAACAGTTATAAGTATTTCTATCCGTGTGTTAACATGATATCTAAATGAGCTTGAAATAAGATACCATAGAGTCTGACACATCTGTTTCATATTTGGATATTTTACTTAAAAGACGTAAATGGTAACCTGTGAGTGTAAGGAAAACGTGATGTCCCTAACATTTCAGATGTCAACTGCCCTTACTTACACAGCAATATAACCTAATCACATGCGTACAGAGTCTACATCTCTCAGTTCATTGATACGAAATAGAACATGTATGTTCTACGTTTGAACAATACCCGGTACCTAAAATGGGGTAAGTAACATGCATTTACAAAAAAAAAAAATGATGATACAAGCTAGTTAAGAAGACCATAAGTCTCGTTCAAAATCATCATTTCGTTAGTTCTATGTTCGATATAATGACCTTTTCAGCAAAAGGTCATAAAAACAAATGCTGACTGATGTACCATTATTTACGCACTTATTTGTCGACGATTTTTCTGTTATTTGTCGCACCGATCATGACAAGAAGCACACGGCGGGTGTGATCGATCGGCAGGGGATGCTCATCCTCCATGGCACCAGATCCTACCTCTGACGTTTTGAGAGATCCGTGTTTACTATGCTCCTGTTTTGTACCAGAGTCTGAATGTAATCGGGGAGTTGACAGAAAACTGTGATGAAGTGGATTTAAAAAATTGAATTCAAAATAAATTGTACAAATAATTCGTTTTAGATTTACCGAAAGAAACAGTACTAGTATGCACTATTTAATAGCAAGAGTAGATTCTGTATGGTATGCTTACTTATGTACAACATGTATAATAGCATGGCCGTTACTTTAAAAAATTTTGTAATAAATGAGAAAGCGACAGAGGAATGTTCATTTCTGTTACAATCAATGATTCATTTTCCCTCTACAATATCAATTTATTTTTAATTAGAGTCCAATTTCACTTCAAAGGAGACAAAACAAGCTTATGCTTCTTTTTTCTTCATTACCAGAGAAATTGTTTTGAAACATCAGATTTCTGTCATCTCTTTTGGATCTCTGTCTTTTTCGTCGTTGACCGATTAAGCCTCAAGAGGGACGTAAGAAGATTAAGTGTTTATTTAACCTCATGTGGTAAGCTCAGGACTAAACCTTTAACCTCCTTGAAATTAGAGATTTTATCTTGTTTTTATTTAGTGTTTATTCTTGTAACCAGGGATCTTTTTTTTTACTAAAATAGATTGTCAGGAAACTACAATATCGTTTTAAACTTTTTGCAAATTCTCGAAAGGTTTTTTTTTCTCAGCAAATTCGATCTATCATTAAGAAAAAAATATCTTCATTTAGACTGTAAGGTCGTTATTCCTACACTGAATTTTCTACCTTTTTTCAGTATATAGACAAAATGTTAACGGCAGATGTGAACGATGGGCAACGTATGCTTACTCCTCCATGACACATGATCCCTGCCCGTATGTTTTAATGCTCTGTATACTCTTGATTTGTATTGTTAAAAAATGACTTTTTAACTAGACTACTATTTGTAATCTCCACATCTTTATGTATATTTACGTGTCATGCTAGTTATATAAAATTGTTGATTTTATCATTATGTTTAATAAGAGGTATTAATTTTTATATTTGGATCTAATTTATATTTTGTTTAAGTAAATCATCTTTTCAAATAGTGTACTTTGGATAAATATCCTCAGTGTCGACGTTGCATCCATGAATTTAGAAACTTTTTATGGCAACAATTGGCCCTGGCTTGTGTGCACTTCTCTAGTTAATTCAATTCATCAAATATTACTGTTCATTGTCTAAAATGGATATATTAGATTGTTGACCTCTTATTTCAAAAGGCGAGCGGTGTTCTATTCCAGAATTTATATTTGTCGATAAAAATGTCCATTAGTCAATGTCGGCTCCAGTCATAAGTCAAATGAGAAAGCAGTGTTCAGGGAATCAGAAGATATGTAAAAACATAATCGGATTTAATTAAACCTATCAGCACCAATTCTTTCAATGTATTGTCTTCGTTCCGGATCTTTTTGGACCTTGATGCAATTGTCGGCATTCACTTAATCTTCTACGATCCACATAAAAATCAACCGCTCGATCTTGTTCTTAAATATATTGAACATCTTTTTCTGTCTTCTTTTATTTCCATCGCTTCCGCATTTTCCAATGCATTGAATATTCAACAACACGCAAAGAGTGCCTAAATGAATATATTTTAAATACTAGATTATCTTAAGAACTCATGTTTAAAAAATAATAGCAAAACGAGAATTATTGGGGGTAAAATTGAACACTAAAACGACTTTCAAAATAAAAGTTTAAAGAAAAAAAATATGCTTAAACATATTTATTTAATGTATATCTTCAAGTTTTAAACAAAACATAACAACAAAAAATTATAAAACTTTAGGAGTATTGTAAAAGGAAGCAATTAGAATTATACTTTAAAGGACATTAAAAAAAAAAAAGAGTTTTAAGTACAACTGTCTGATATTTGGCTAAACACAGGTCATATTTTGTTCAATTTAAATAGATTTTTCCTTATCTGATTTACAAATTAATCAGAAGTTATATGATATTGTAGAAAACTCGTGAGATATCTAAATTAACTTTCATTATCTGTTCTACGACGTCTCTAGTAGGCTGACCAATGTCTAATCAACATCATGTAATGTCCGTATCATACTGGAATCGATCTTTTCATAAAAAGAGCTAATCTAGGCAAATATTGTTCAAGGGATGCTTACAATGTATGGTTAAACTTCTTTTTTGATAATCAGCGTGCTTGAGGTTCGAACAGTTTCCTTTCAAGATGACAAGTAGAAATGGTTTCCGGTATTTCCACCGGAGGTCAATTGTTCTACATGCATATTTAATAAATTTGAAAACATTTGCTAAGTCAATTAATGATGCTTCATTTTCCAGCTGTCTAATAAATATATTTCAAATAAAAAACCCTTTTACACTTAAAACTACTCATGTTTTTTGAAAGTTTTTTCCTTAAAATTTTTCAATAAAAATATTTCTGACATAAAGTGTATTATTTTATATTTGACTTTAAGCTGGTTTGATTCAATAAAATCACGAAAGATCTTTCAAGTGCGATCATATCAATGTTTGTTTAATTAACAGATAGCTACTATCTGAAATTGTACATCAACTCATCATGTGCATAACTGATCGAATACAATGCCGTTAATCTACATATCTTACCTTAAGGGACGAAAATTTAAAAAGTAAGTCAACAATATTTGTCTCAAAGGAAAAAAAATGCATTTGTAAATTCACATACTCCTAGAATAATGTTAAGATGTTATTATCATTTAATGATGTTTTATTTTTACAGATATTGGACATGGTTACTTTTGATTATGTCGGCGATTTTTATCATACATTTCATATCTCCCTCATTATTTACTGGTGAATGCCAAACAAAACAGAGAATAATAAGCGACTGGAGTATTATAACGGTGGATGATGACAATGAATTTAACAGCAATAACTTTAGTTTGATTTCTGATTCCTTTCTGGCCTCCAGACGCCAGTTCATGAAAGAGGAAATTCGACACGTGGCTTTCCTTAAGGTCCACAAGACCGGAAGCTCTACAGTTACGAGTATAATTCAGAGATTTGGATGGGCGAGACAGCTGAATTTTATTCTTCCGGCAACAAGCCCTAATCTTTTCAGTCAAAATGAAAGTATTACAACCAATAACATTCTGCATATTGACAAAGACGAAACTTACGACATATTGTGCAATCACGTAATATACAACAAGCAGGCATTTCAAAAATATTTACCACCTGATACAGTGTACATTGGAATTGTAAGGGACCCTTTTGATCAATTTGTTTCATCTGTTTACTACTATAAGTACAGATGGAGCGTTCCCTACCTCGCCCGTCTTCCTATTAGGTACCCTATAAAATACTTACTGGAAAATCCGAATCAATACGAACCCAAAAATTATCAGAATTCGTTCACAAAGAGCAGAATGTCCGTGGACTTCGGATTACCTGAAGAATTATTTCATACAACTGATAAAAACAAGATATTGCCCTACCTTCGAAAACTACACTCAGAATTCAAACTGGTAATGATTAAGGAATACTTTGACGAATCTTTGATTCTTCTTCGAAGAATTTTAAATTGGAATATGAAAGATATCCTTTACATAATCAAGAACTCGTCAAAGTACGTGCCACTTAGAAGCTATCGGGACAGATATCTTCATAAGCAGCACTCATTTCTTGATTATTGTTTGTATAACTTTTTTGTTAGAATATTCTGGAAAAGAGTCAGGCAACAAGGAGAGGATTTTCACGCCGAAGTTTCGTATTTTCGACAGCTGAGATCTGCAGTGGAAGACTTTTGTTCTGAAGTGGTGAAAAAATCAGCTTTGCCTGTTCAGGTGTTTGAAGCAAAGGAAAACGAATTTCATTCTTACATTGTTATTAATAAGGAAGAATGTGTACTCTTATCGATGGACGAAGTAGAATTTTCAAATAAACTTAAATGGCGACAATTTCCACACCTTCGTCCAATGGGAAATCAAAGAAGACATCCTAGGAAAAGATGGTAGTTAAAAGGATAGGCAAATGAATAAAGAAATATCGTAAAAGTCACTGCCATTCAACTTTGCGTTATCAATCTCTGCTAATCAAGGATTTTAACGGACGATTTCACATTCGAATAAGAGGCATAAATAAACATTTGTTCTATGATTTTGATTTAAAGAAAAACTCTACATCGTATATTCTTTTATCCTTGAAACATCGTATAAACACGGTTCTCAACGAAATTCCAGTATCGCATTTTGCGTACTAGTATTTCGCAGTAATGTAGACTGTGTTGCTAGTGATTTAAAATGAAACAGGTCCTGTAGATGTGTGGTCTTAAAATGAGAGAAATATAAATGTTACATATCTCAGATAACAATGTTTTCTAATTAAACAGTTAGCAGTTTTATAGAGTTCAATAATGCTTCAATTATTCTTTATATATATGCATGTACCACTTTAAATACACGTATATTTTGGAGGTCCGTATTTGCTCTGCTTTAATTCTGTATTGTTTGATGGACTTTTGACCCAGAATATTGTTCGTTATCTTCATATATTTTGTTATGAAACTTATCTGTGCAAGCAAACTTGATAGAGAATGGACCAACTCTTACATTATGTCTAAAACATAGTTGGGATGGTTAAAAAAAGAAAACAATCTTTTAAATCATTTGTTATTTAATGTTTTATTATTTTATATGATTGTAATGCCTTATGAAAATATCTTCATCATAGAAGAATTATGAAGTTATTTGAAAAATGATCGAAAGCGGCAAGCAAACGAAAATGCACTTACATTAACAACCTTATACATGTAGTTAACTTTTGATTAATCAGAAGATGTAAATTCCGATTTCCCTAATTCAAGTAAAATATATTCTTTTAAGTTGCTCGCAATTTCTTTTAAAAAGGGAAAAGATAAAAAAAACGGAAAATGTAGATTTTTTGACAGAGATACATGTGAAAGGAAACGCCCAAACATTCATCATATCTTAAGTTGCCATGTACTGTGCATGTAAAATGTTTCTTCAGGAAACAAAACGAAAGTTTGTCAACAGTAGGAAAGCAACAGTCGCAATGACTCTGCTGACCCAGAAATTAATAATTTAGCGCGACAACATTGTTTATCATTTACTCCATTTGGTGCAAATTAAGATAACCTCTGTTTTTAAGACAAATAGCTTTGTTAATTTTTTTGGTTACTTGTTACGTTATTCTCTCCGATTTATCAAAAAATTATATTCATATAATATAATTTTTCAGTTTTCATGACGCAGCCTTTCCTGTAACTCATTCGTAAGATAGAAAAGAAAGAAAAATGGGAACGAATATTCCCATGTATACAAATACTGCATTAAATCACAGTGTTTTGCAAATTGTGTATATAAGTGTACATACACAGATGTATAAAAGCGATTATAAATATTCTTATGATTGTTTAAATAGAAGCTGCGGATCCTCCTTATCATCATCAAACTGGTCATTACATGCCACAAGTCACCTAGAAAACACAAAGAGAAAACCCTCCAGCAATAGAATTTTAAAAAAATCAATTTATTCCCTTTATTTCCCAAAATATAACATAATTCTTTAAAAAATGGAAAGAAGCATTATGTTAAACGAAGTAATATACTGACATACATCTAATACGTCATCAATCAAGAGAGGCTCCTTAATATGCAAATATAGTAGAGCGTGATATTATGCAAACATTATTATGCAGGTATCTGGATTTCAGAATAAATATATATATATATGGAATGGCGCTCCATGCTACTTGCAAAATAGCAATTCCATTTAGGTTCTGAAATATTAACAGCTGACATGGTTCTCCAAAATAAATACCAATAAATACAGTTAAAGCCTGGCACCATCATCCCAAAATATTTCACTTTATCTGTTAAGTTTAAGCTGTGTAAATCGCAATTTCGGTTAGTGAAAGTTCCTGGATAAAAAATGTAATAATATCATCATTATAAATATGGCACCAAATCTAATGTTATAAGCACTGTATGGTGAAGTTAAAACTTATGAAGGTATAAGAAAATGGTTAATATTTGAGGTAACAGGAAGTTGATCACTTTGAAACAATATAATATCCTGTCGTTAAAATGGCCCGTTCACTCTCCATTTGATCAGGGCCGAGTGCTTGTCAGAGCACACAAATACCTGGAAAAAGAAGAGAACTTTATCCAAACTGCTCCAGTTACTCCAATCTTTTTTTTCTCACAAAATGGTTGACTCTTCCACAGAAACTGATCTTTCCCGCCCCAAAGATGGAATTTTGGTGAAACACGGAGCGCCATTTCATATTTAAGATTTATTAAGTGTAGTTGCCTTTTCTCTGAATTTTTTTATACAAGAGAATTTCAGTCTCTCGAGAAAGTGTGGGAACATCCCTTCTAAATATGCAACAACAAAAACAATACTTACGCCATGGCATTTTCCAGGACAGAAACGTAATCTTGATTTGAATAACAATGGCTCTCCTGGTAGAAGAATAAAAGCCTTCATGGCGACTCTGGCCACCCAACCAGTCCCTGCACGATTCATTTCGGAGTAGTTTCTGATGGGAATCTCCAAGTGCTGCTGAGCTGTTCTTAATACACATCTGTATAAGGAGAAAAACTAGACTTGTTAGTTGATTCAAACCATTACATGAAATGGAACAATTCTATTTTTCTTTGTGGTTTTTCGATTTCTGGGACCGTTGGTGCGATATTCAATGTCGATTTATTAGTCGAGTCAAGTCTAGACTTAAATAGAAATTACAGAATTAGAATACGATTCTGCAGAATATAAACTAAGATTCTGCAATACTAGAAACGTAATAAAAAAGATAATAATATTTTAGCGCCTTGCACGTTGCCTTTCTTTTGCAAACTCAAGTGAACGCTATATGTTTTAACAAACATGTTTAGAAGCTTTGCTTAAACTGTGTTTATTAATTGTTTGAGACTAAATACTGACCCATTTTCAATGACAGTTTTGCTGACAACCTCATTGGAGTTGGCGTTAATACTGTATACCTCTAAGTACTCGACCATGACACCACGGACATCTGGAATAAAATATGAGCATGAATACTATTTTACAACGTATGCTTACATAGTTTAAAATTTAAAAAATTAGTTTGTAACACATGAAATGATTGTCATACATAAACGGGTCATTTTCACAAAATATTTTACGAAAAAAGCAAAAACTTTACAGTTTTTCCATAAATAAACAATTCACAGTGGGAAAATGTAAATATTATTGGATTTTATTGTGAATAAAATTTAAAAGGTTACTCAATATGTCTCAATATTTAGTTTGTTTAAAAAATTGAATGTTAAAATAAGACAATAACATCCATCGCAAATGTTAGTTTCCAATTTTTTAAACTTGCATAAATATTATAGATTATCGAAGTGAAATAACTTGCGAAAATGAGAATATCACCAGCATCCCTTTTTCTAAGTATTCGAAATAATAAATAAATACTGGTCTGAAACTAGAGAATGTGATAGAGTAAATTCTTGCGATTTTTTAGACGTCTTATGTAAAACAGCTGTAAAAGATAACTTTGATATAGGCGTTCTTGGAGCCATAACTTACAGGGAATATATTTTTTATTCCAATACTCCCACAGGATTTAAAGACCAGAATTTAATTTATTAAGCCTTATTGTTTGGTGCAATATTCCACAAAATACCACGTATCAACTTCTAAAAAAAGATTATTCAGATACTCTGTAAAATGGAGTTTGGAAAAAAAAAACTTCGTGTTTCAAACACCCATTCATTTCGCCCAGGATGTAATAAAATCTGTAACTGAAACCTAATTGCATATCTAAATGACACCAACTTTCGTATTCCAAAAAATGAATTGGGATTGGTTACTAATTAAAACAAGAGGCCCAGGGGCCACAGCGCTCACCTGAGCACATCGGCTAGGAAAAAGCACATATCAGATCAGAACTGAAAGTTTACTAACGTTGGGGGAGGGGGGGGTCTTGAATTTTAACCCCCAGGGGATCATGATTTGAACGAACTAGAATCTACACTACATGACGATGATTCCATATAAATCTTACTAATCATGGCTTTGAAGTACATGTACTTGAAAAGAAGATTTTAAAAGGTTTCCCTATATATTCCTTTGTAAAACTTTTAATGGCCATTATGGCCCCACCCTAGCCCCGGGGTCAGGATTTGAACAAACTTGAATCTACACTACCTGAGGATAATTTCACATGAGTTTCATCTTTCCTGTCTTAATGGTTCTTGAGAAAAAGATTTTTAAAGATTTTTCCTATATAAATTCCTATGTAAAACTTTGATCGGCCATTATGGCCTCACCCTACCCCAAGGGGTCATGATTTGAACAAACTTGAATCTACACTACCTGAGGATGATCCCACTTCAGTTTCATCTCTCCTGGCCTAGGGGTTCTTGTGAAGAAGATTTTTAAAGATTTTTCCTATATATTCCTATATTAAACTTTGATTGGCCATTATGGCCCCACCCTAGCCACAGGGGTCATGATTTGAACAAACCTGAATGTACACAACCTGAAGATGATTCCACATGAGTTTCATCTTTCCTGTTCCTATTGATCGTGAGAAGAAGATTTTTCCTATATATTCCTATGTTAAACTTTGATAGGCCTTTTTGGCCCCACCCTACCCCCGGGGTCATCATTTGCACAAATTTGAATCTACACTACCTGAGGATGATTCCACATGAGTTTCATCTTTCCTGGCCCAGTGGTTCTTGAGAAGAAGATTTTTAAAGATTTTTCCTATATATTCCTATGTAAAAGTTTGATCGGCCATTTTGGCCCCACCCTACCCGCAGGGGTCATGATTTGAACAAACTTGAATCTACACTACCTGAGGATGCTTCCACATGAGTTTCATCTTTCCTGGGCCTGCGGTTTTTGAGAAGACGATTTTTAAAGTTTTTCCTATATTCCTATGTAAAACTTTGATCGGCCATTGTGGCCCCACCCTACCCCCGGGGGTCATGAATTGAACAAACTTGAATTTACACTACCTGAGGATGCTTCCATATAAGTTTCATCTTTCCTGGCACAGTGGCTCTTGAGAAGAAGATTTTTAAAACATACCATCAAATTTTCACTATTTCTCAATTATCTCCCCTTAAATAAGGGCGTGGCCCTTCCTTTGTACAAATTTGAATCCCCTTTACCTAAGGATACTTTGTGCCAAGTTTGGTTGAAATTGGCCCAGTGGTTCTTGAGAAGAAGTCGAAAATGTGAAAAGTTAACGACAACAACGACAACAACGACGACGACGACAGACAACGGACAAATTTTGATCAGAAAAGCTCACTTGAGCCTTTGGCTCAGGTGAGCTAATAAAAGAGGAGTCTGAGAAAGCCGAACGTGTGACAAACGTAGGGATGGACATAGACAAAAAAACAAGTACCTAAATTTTCTTTAGAAAAAAAAGGAATGAAATATGGAGATAACGAATTATATTCGAACTCATAAGTCAAATCAAATGATTCAAATCGGGCGCAGAGCATTCGCGGATTTCTTTAGCATCAGAGATGGGATCAGGTGCAATGGAGGAGTAAGCACGCTCCGGTGATGGGTCATAAACGCCGTGTGTTTTGTCTTGATCAGGGAAAATGGAAAAAAATGAGACAATTCAGTGCGTATATAACAGCCCAACAATTTGTTTGGAAAAAATCAGTCAGCATTTCACTTAAATATAGATTGTATTTGCTGACAAGGTCAATGTATCGATCAAGGTACTTGAAAAAATGATGACTTTATACGAGACTGTAGATAGTCTTGTCAGTTTACCAAAAAACGTCTTTTTAAAGTAAAATATTCAAATATTAGACAGATGTGTTAGACTCTGTGGTATTTTTCATTTCAAGCTCCCCAGGATATATCGAGTGGACATATTAATGGAAGTCAATATACATTGATAAAAGAATAGAGGTCGTGGATAAATTTAAATGTTAAGTTTTTTCTGATGTTTAATATAGATTTTGAATAAATTCTGCTTTAAGATTAGCCCTCTAATAACGAGAGATAAAGTGGTAAAAAAAGTTTTATTTGAATGAAAATAGTTAGATCCATGAATGAAAAGGGATATAGATCGATAACTAGTATCATATTGTACATTAAACTTACGGCCGTACATATCAGATTGATTGATTGTATATTGTTTAACGTCTCTCTGGAGAATTTTTTCACTCATATGGAGACTCCACTACTTGCCGGTGGAGAGCTTCAAATTTTGTCCTATACTCGGCACACAGGGCTATTGAGCAGGGAGGAATCTTTTTCGTGTCAGCACCTACTGCGACACGGGACCTCGGTTTATACGGTCTCATCCGAAGGACCGGTCTCCACGTATACATATCATATACAGCGAATTGATGCATAGCTGATGTCGAAGGACAGTCTATGAAAAATTTTGTAACTACAGTGATGAACGATATCTTTACGTTCTTAAAATTTTTCTTGCCTTATATTTTATCTTCCTTAAACTTTCAGAAGCATAAGTATTATCGTTAATGTCTCACCAGTAAATTAAACATTCTATAGTTTGCCACTTCATTATTTTCACTTTTGTAAAATTCTTTTTAATATCTAACATATTTTATGTCACATCAAATATAAAAGCTTGCATTTCTTATCTATATATTCTAGCTTAATGGGCATTTAAAAGATTGTATCGATAACTCAGCATTATTAAAGTTTAGGAACGAGTTAACCCAGCATTATTAAAGTTTAGGAACGAGTTCACCCAGCATAATTAAAGTTTAGGAACGAGTTATACGTCTTTCCGCAAAGTTCTCGGTTATGCTTTTGTCAGTCTAAAACTTTTTTTCTAATAATGTAAATAACCAAGTGTTGTTATACATGCAATATTTTACAAATTTCAAAATAGGCTCCTGCTTTCTTTCGAAAATAATACGAACTGAAAAAATGTTACCTTTTCGATGTAAACGATATTATGTGAAAATGTGTGTTTTTTCGCTATAAAGTAATACGTTCACATAAATGAACTATTGCTGTTTAAATGCTCTTGTGTCGAAAACTTTTAAGGCAGACGATATTACCATTGAAAAGACAGGGTTATTTTAATAAAAGTTTTATTTGTGGTAAAATTTCATCTTATTAATAACGTCCTCTGCTTTCCTGTCCAATGTATCAAGATAAGGGAATTTAATTAAAAACTAAGGAAAGTCAATTTCTAATGCATCTGCTAAAAATTTAGTTGACTTTATAACATCCTATCAAAGCTCCATTGCCGCTGAAATTTTCTACACCATTGTTATATTTTAAGGACCCTTTTTTAAAATTTCCTTTTTCAGTGTAAATTTTGTTTAGAACACACTATACAGAATTACCTGGAAGTCCGACAGGTTCGAACTGAAGAATGATGCTCTCATTAGCAGCCAATGCTTGCACTGGCTCTCCATTCATGTCAAGCGCAACCATGCGGAACGGAAAAGCTGTTTCTGTTATTTCTTTGGAAGTTCCTTGAAAACTACAAAATGGAAATCAAATTGCTTCTCATTAGCAAAAATTAAAAATAACATCGTGGACATCGTATACTTGGTATTTTATGCCTACCTATTTGTATGAACACAGGAAAGTTCCATAATTTTATCACGTGGTCCGAATTGATTGTAGTTGTAAGTGCTAACAACTGTGGTTTTCATTGTTACATCACCAAGCTACAAGAAAAAATACAATATATAAAACACATGCTGTTTCTTATGAATTGAATACAATATTTTCCAAACTGATCTACATTATTTTACTACAAACCTGCAAGTTATTTAATCGAGAAAAAGAAACCATGATTCTCATAATTTAATTTCAAAGTCTTAGTGATTACTTTAGGTGTGTCAGGATGACGTGTTAAAGCACACTCGGTCCTGTCGCTGTGGAGAACTATTTTTTCCAGTTTCATCATATCCGGAATATCAGAAGGTACAGGCTTTAGAGCGCATGATTTCCTGTTTTTGTAGATGTAAACCTCCCCTGTAAATCCAAGAGGTCTGTACGCCTCAATAACCATCTTGTCAGGAGCACATCTGGCCACGGCTGTTGAGGTACCAATGCACATGTATCATTATATAGACATTAACTTTGCTTATTGTCAAATTATTTTTATGTTACATTGTTTTCCAGAAAAATCAATATTGATTTTTATTAAAACATAACTGTTTTTGCATGTTATACTATAAATAAGCTATAGAATTGTCTTTTGACTTGGATCAATCGTTTACAATTTAATATATTCTTGATATCATTTCGATTCAAAAACTTTATTGCATGCACCTAAAGAGAATATTATTTTATATTCTTAACATTCGCGTTGGCTTTCAATTATTAGATTACTAGTAATTCTAGTTATCATTACTAGATGGAATTTCGCAGAATTCGCCAATGAATCCATCTTGGCAGTAACATCTGTTTTTCTCATAGCATGTTCCACCATTTTTGCAGTCCACAGTGCATGCGGCAGCTGGGGTAATAAATTCTGTAAGACAAAGATTCAGGTTTCAACAAATCCGGAAAAGATGCATTTTTGTTATAAACAGTACTAAATTTGTTCTCTAATTTAATCAGAAAGAATTTTATTGCATATTTATGTATTCAGAAAAAGAACAATTTCCTTTGTGTCGTATATATTATGTTATTCTGTTAGACTTACCCGTTTTTAACCCACAATCGTGGCCTTGGAAGCCTTTGGGACAAATACAGAAGCCATAGAAATGACACTTGCCGCCATATTTACAACCATACCCTCCATTGTTTGTGCAATCATACAAAGCAGAGGCTATAAATTAAAATAATATAATACATAAAAATCAGTGAATGCTTTGAAATCACCTTTATTATACTCAAAATATTATTATTTTTTCTTTTAACATAATGTTGTAAATTTAACTACTCTGTAGAACAGGGACATTCACCATTTTTTGATGAAACAAATTCTTAGATATTAAGAGTATGTTATAAGGAGTTGAAGTTAGGGTAATGTAGGAGCTTTTGATTTTAATACTTAATGTTTGCTTAGCTTGGATAGAAGACAAAAATCAGCATTTTTACTATTTTTTCTAGAAGCATTTATACAAACCTATAGCTACCAGGCAACACGTGACAAGGATATGCAAGAAGGACATTCTGCAACGAAAAAATATCATCTCACCATCAATTGCAGGTATTTACAGAGCACTTGCACATTTTGGCCTTGAAATAAACACTTGTTGTTATTTTTTACTAATTTAATTAAGGAAGATCTTAATTTCTTAAGTTAAATATATCCGTGTCTGCATGACTTTTGTAAATTAATAAACCATAGGTTTGTCTCTTGGATGCAATTGTGCTTTAGTTCATAAATAATTTATATACATAGATATACATATATAATTGAATCATCTTGATATTTAAAAAAAGTGTTCAAAGATCAAATGATAAGATTTTAGCAAGTAAAATTAACAAGAAGAAGGTTTTTTTTTTAAAGTTATCTCATCACTTAAAAATATCTTAAAAAAAAAAAGTTAATCATGACAAAAGTTGATTATGTAACAACTAAAATAAGTTAAAAACAGCATCAATCTATGAAGAATATTATTTTTTTATTTTCATGGATCCTTGTTCTGCCTTGATAATCAACTTAATATTTCAAATATTTATAAGTTAAATTTCCGTTTGCTATCATCACCTTTTTTGTTTACTATGACAAATATATAGATCCTCCGCTTTTGATAAAATATTCATTACTATCAGAAACTCTGCATCTTAAACGTGAGAGCATTCTCTAGCCAAATATAAACTTTTCTTTACCACATTTCGAATAAAATATAATAACTGCCAGCAATCCAGCACAGAAGTCAACAAAAACAATACAGATCAGGCGCAGAGCAAAAGAAGCCATCTTGAAACATCAGAGGCGGGATCAGGTGCAATAGAGAAAGAAACTTTCCTTGTTGGCCTGTCTCTCCTGCAGTGTGCACCTTATGACACGGCATACAGAACAATCCGTACTCAATTCACTTTGTAAATAATAGCCTTAAAATAATTATGAAAAAAAGTCTGCACTCGACTTATATAATAATATGCTGAAAAGGTCAATGAATCGACTATAGGGTGACTTTACTAGATTTCGACGTTTAAAGAGAAAGTTACCATCCTAAATCCATCATTTTTTTGTCAATAAGTTGCCTTGTAATAGGAAGTGTTTGTCTGTGGAACATGTTGTTACGTTTCAAACCAACTGGGAGAAATGTACTCCGTATGCAAGTGAGAAGAGAATATTGCACATAAATAAATACGACAGATAAAAAGTAACCAAAACGTTTTGATAAGTAGTTAATGATAAACAACACGACATATCTAGCTAGCTAGCTTGTGAAATGATTGTTTATTTTAAAACATACTCTCCCAACCTCATCCCAACAAAGGTTTATAATTAATGCATTGTTATGCATTAAACTGAATTCTTCAGGACATTTCCAAATAAGGATGTATACGTTACTCGTCGAAATCCTTCATTTACTTTGTTAAGGGTCACTCGTCGAAATATTTCACACATATATTTGTCGTTTTTCAGGTTATTGCAGGTACAAATATTAAGATGTAGCTTCACATAAAAGAATATTGTCTACGAAAACATTTAACAACCAAATTTTAATTCATTAAAACAATTTTTTTTTGTAAAAATAACTTTTTGTTTTAAAATTTAAATGCCAAACCATTTGACTACATGATTTGTTAGACAGTTTCAATTTATAAATTTATAAAATTTTCAAAATTTGATTTATTCAATGTGTATGTCAAATTTATAATCATAACATGCCATGCCTTTATTTGCATAAGAATCTGAAAGCTTTCTGAAATTACATATAATTATAATAGTTATATTTTATCGTGTTCATATTATAAATTTCAATCTGGATAAATCCCAGACTGTTATTTCCTTTTTAGAATATATATATATTATGTCGAAAAATGTGTTGACATTTAAAAAAAAACTAAAAAAAAGGGCTATATTTTACATAAACTCTGGGAGTTATTAAATCTGTCATATATGACGACTTCTTGCTGACATTTGTGCTGATTAGAAACAGGCAGTGTCTATTCTGTATTCATAGAGCAAAATATGGAAAATAAAGAATCAATTTCGAAGTAAGGAATTTTCACGTTTTTTTTGGATTGAACAACGTTATTGTTAAACAATGATTCTAGTTCTCAAGCTTCCAATCAGCGGTTTGACATTTAAAACCTCCATACAAAGTTAAATGTAATTAAATTTCAAAAAGTAGAATAATTCAATTATTGTAAAATATAGACAGAGCAAATTGAGTGGAACAAAACGTTAATAAAGAAAATGTTTTATTCTAAAAATAGAAGCACGAATTGTAGCGCATGCGTCAAGATATTTATGTTGGGGATCTTTGATGACAATTTAAGGAATATAAACACGTCCATTCATAAACGATTGTGTTCAATTTCTTTTTAGTAAAATCAAAGTTTAATTTACAGATATAAGTTAGAATCAAAAAAGTATGCTAATTTATTTCTTAATGTCCAGCACAATGATATATAAGGCGTATATATCAGGAATGAGGTTTATAGAATTGGCAATAAATGGCGATGTAAATTTGATAGGAATTATATATTTTGAAATGAATATTGAATAAGTTACAACTCTCATGGAGATAGCTAAGATCCATGCAGTGTTTCAAGGAAATCAAGAACTGTTTCATTAAATTTATCAATTGTTGAACCAGGGGGGGGGATTAATAACTAGAACTGTAAAAATACATGTAGAATTATATTCTGTATTCCTTGTAGACGACTCGTTTTGTTTAATTAATTAAACTGAAGGCATTCACACACGAGCAAAATATTCTAATGTCCAACACCATCAACATCTTAAGATATGCAAAAAATGAAAATAAAAGCCTATCCACTAAATTGATTTGAAAGCATAATTTCGAAACTCTATTCTTCTTGTAATCAAATAAAACTGTCAGAAATATGCATCACAAACATATTATAAATAAAAATCTTCCAAACAAATAAAGGTCGGAATTCAATAAATTGAAATCAATGGTTTGCTTAAAAATATACCGTGTTGAGCATATATTTTTAAAAACCCCCATAAATTATAGCAATACAATAAGGCAAAACAAATTTTTTGATATTTCTCTAAAAGAAACGTGAAATAATTTTTAAAATCTGATAATCACTGAAAACCGTTTTAACAAGAATCAATTATAAACTTACGTGTTCTTTCTTTGGAAAGCAGCTAGAATCCGAAATCTTTCACCTTTATGAATTACAAGCTTTGTCATCTAAATTATGCGCACTGTTACTTTCACAAATGTAACGTTTTTTAAAATAATTAATACAATTTACTCCCAAATCTTCAACCACAAGAGAAATGTTAATTTGAGATATGCAAATGAGCCATAATGAAATTCATTAGCCAGTTTGGATGCTTCAAGAACCCAAGAGGAACCCAAAAGAAGTAAGTAATATTTGAATCAACTTTAATTGCCTATAATGAATTTATGTGCAATAGGTACATGGGTCACTTTTTATATGTTTAAATGAATTGTGTTTGAAAAGAAAAAGAAGGCTTTGATGTCAATTTTCATTTTAAGCTTACATTTTTTTTACCTCTTGCACATGTTAATGTAAGTTACCTTGTTGTCGGAAAGTCAATAACAAAAATATGATTGAGATAAATTGTACATGCATGATACTTACTTACGGTTAGTTTTTTTCAAGTTGTTCCCAAACTATTTACAAAGTAAACGAGTTTTATCTGTCTTTATTTTTTATCAAACCTTTATTCTGCAAAACGTAAACACTTATTTGAAAAATATTACACAATGATAAGAATATTATTGTCGTTTACCTGGCAATGTATTACTTTCTCTATTCCCCAGTTTAATTATGGATAAAAAGTCCTTATGAAATCAACACTTTATAAAGGGGTTTGTTTCTAAACGAAACATTTACTTATGATAGAAAATAATATCCAAAACTTAAACAAAGATAAGCCAGCCAAAAGTCTATTCTAATATTGCTTTTGTATAGTTGGGAGTTAGTTTAAATTTTAATTAACTAATGTGGTAAAGCTTGTAATCAATTTCTTCATTTGAAAAAAAAATCCTTATTTAATGTGACTCCTGTGCAGTAATTCTTGGCAGGTGTTATATTAAATATCACTATAAATAATGAAGTGTCACCAATGTGTTTTGGCGACACAGTCATCCAGTTTGACTAATTAAAACTGCATATTCTTTTTTATTTATGACAGTTTCATTCGGCCCGTAAAAGAAGTATGGTTTAAAAAGGTTCCGCTTTTTAATTCAAATTTGGAATAAGAATAGTTTTTCTAAATTTATTTATCGTAAAATACATTGAAAATACATTAAGTTATGAAAATATATACAAATAAACCTTTATTCAACCTTCCAAAATACGAAAAGCTCATTATCTTTAATAGCCAAATACCAATGTTTTATTATTGTTTAGGAGTCAGCTTTGGCTATATTGCTGAAGGCGTGACAGCTTAAGAATAAGAAGTAGAATTTGGAATTCTATTGCAAGACATTAATTGAATTCAGTTCAATTAATAAAACTTAATTGAGGTTTCATTAATTATGTAGGATGCCTTACAATTTAAAACTTAAACCACTTTGATATTTTAAGCATAAACTATACTGCCTTTGACATCTTGAATTACATTAGTTACCTTGGTAAATGGTGTCGCACGATTTTCCTTGTCGGACAACTTTACTTAGCATGTAAATTGAAAGAGTGACAATTGTGAAGAGATGAAAAATAATGCACAATGGACGCTTCTTCCTGATACCATTGCATAACCTATCCATAAACTTCGTGACTACGTCTCATGAACTTTGTCCAAAATAGATTCAATATTTATGCCTTTTTTATCTTTATATCTTTTTTTTTTTATTATTTTAGAATAATGTCACCTCTCTTCCAACTGGTTTTCTTGTCTTTTGTCGGCTATGGTAAGTTTAAGATGGAAAAGAGAATTTATAACTATGTAAAGAATGCTAAAGCATTCAAAAGAATGAGGAATGAAAGAAAAGAAACCTTACAGTAAACAAATGAGATATAACAAAACAACATCAAAACAGCTGTTATTATTTTTAATCAGATTATCCTTACCTGAAATGCTATTAGATATCTAGTCCGAATTACTGAAGTGAGTTTAACTGAATGTGAAAACATTAAATATACTCATCTCAACATGCAAGGATATAGAAATGTTCAGAAGCCATCATTTTGCTTTACTCTCAGTTTCTCCGAAGATTTTTTTCCACTTATTGAAAAATTACGATTCAATTAGTGATGATTAAATATACACTATACCAGGAATCAAAGAAGTTCATTGAAAATTGTTTATCAATTAAATCACAGTACTGATATTCCTGCAATAACCTTGCAATAACCTTTTATTCAAACTACCACTGTCATGTTTGACAAATAACACTCAATTTTCTTTTGATTTATTCAAATTTTATCGTGATAAACAAAAATCACTCCCTTGCAATTGCCTTTAAAGCAAATATTCAAGAGTTTGGCTCTAAGAATTTTGCTTCTTAATATATCTTTATAAAAATTATATGGATTTTTTTTAAAACACAGATTTTTTGCAGGATTGGGATACAATTGTCTAAACACCGGTTATGACTGCAAAAATGGAGGGGCTTGTGATTACTTTGGAAGGTGCAAGTGCCCTCCAGGTTTCGGCGAATACGACTGCGGTTTGGACGCTGGTAAGACTTGATTATGCAATACAAAAATGTAAAAAAAAAATCAAATAATTTTATTGGATGAAAAGGTTCTATAACAATAGCTATTGGGGTTCAAATTGCAAATCATAATCTTAAGAGAGGAAAAGTTTCAATATTTCAAAAAACTTACAGCATTTAGATAATAAAACCCACTGTAAGTAAATATTTGAAATTGATATAACATAAAAATGATAAAATTTTTATTGTAAATTATCAGCTGCCATAACAACGGGAGCAGCCTGCAGAGCCACTTGTATGAACAAAGGAATCTGCTTCGGTGGGACACGTTGTTTCTGCCCAGAAGACTATATCGGAACCAAATGCGAAGTACCTGTCCGTAAGTTCAGAAAATGGTCGTAATATCAATTTTTCATCCCCTTAATTCAAAAGTCACGTAATCTTTAAATACCACTTCTACATGTTTTGTTTTATCGTTTTGATAAAACGGGTATTAGATTACATGTTATGTCTAGAAACATTGAATATGGAAGCGATTTTTTCTTTTTAATTGTAAAAAGTCGTTCCGTTTTATTTTTGCCTAATGTTAAACTTTTTATGAATATTTAAGTGAGTGCCGATTGTGGAATGTCTTCAATGAAAATAAGGGCGTATCGACCTCTTAATTTCAACGGAGAAATGTTTTTGAAGCAAAGCATGTTTGGTTGCAAGCTGAGAGAAATGTTCACCAACGTCGCAGGTTTTAAGATGTTTGAGTTAGATATACCTCATGAGGCTATTTCCCCATGTACGTTAAAGAAAACAGAAAATCCAGAGGTACATGTTTCACATTTTTGAAAAGATAAATCTTTAAAAATGAAATTCCATAATTATAAATCAGAGCATTAGATGATAGTAAAAGCACAGTTACCATTTTGAAAGACTTATCCTAAACAAACTAACATATAGATTTAATAATAAAAAAAACACGTTCTGGAGGTCCGTGTTTGCTCTTCTCCTATTTTGTATTGTTTTATAGACTTTTGATCTGGAATACTGTTCTTTATCTCCATATGTTTCATACAAACAATTTTTATATTGTCAATATGTTTCAGGTTATAGAATCTGTTCTCGTTAATAAGGAGATATATTAATGAATGAGATACCTTTTTTATTATTAATAGACAGGAGACACAATATATGAGGTTGAGGTTGCGACTGCACATGCAAAGGGCCTATTCAGCATGTCTGATACAGTACATAACGTCAAATGTGTTTACGGGCAAAGGTAACAAATACAATGTTTTCTACAAACAAGATAAGAAGATAAAATGTTTTAACTATAAATGGTAATACACAAGCACCTAAATATTATTCTCATCCCATTGAAATACTTTTTACTCATAACACTTTAACACTTCTTTTAAAATCAGACGCATTGGAGAGAACCCTGTCGACGTCACGGCTGCTATGAACCCTCTCTCTATTCAAGTTGTGGACTCCAATGAGCTTCCTTTGCAGCAAGTTCAAAGAAATGATGCTTTCTATGTTGTAGCACAATCTACTGGGAAATTCCCAGGTACACACTGATACTGAAATAACAATCTTATCAACCCAAGTAACCTTCGTCAAACTAACTGTTTATTAACGTTTTACTCTCTACTTACCTAGATACCCAGGGTGCACGTATTAGATACCTAGAGGCGTATAGTATCGACAGACAGACTAACGAAGTGAAAACTATAAAGCTTATTGAAGACGAGTAAGTATTTTCTTTATTGCTTGGGATGAACTCGATATGGTAAGGTCATTTAACATACTTAAGTCTTAATTTCTTACTTTTATTTGATGTTTATCTTAATTTCTTTACCTAGGTGTCCTATAGAATCAGCCGTTAGTCTTTTGGGATTTACTCCTTCCAATGTGCCTTTCGAGTTAAACCAGAAATGGCTTGGACGAGTTGAAATGAAAGGTTTCTTTCTAATCGATGGTGAGCCTCTGCACCTTGACTATCGCGCAAAGCTCTGCAGACGAAAATGCTATGAGGTAATTTACTTCAATTGTGCCTTTCTTATATTATACTTTCATCCAAACAACTCATGTTAGAATAAAGTCATGAAAGATACACACAATTTCATCAATGATACTTTTGAAACTTTTAAGACCCTTTTAATATTAAGCATTTTCTTAAGTACCGGTATTCAGTTTTGATTCATTTATTATGTTTCAGAAATCATGCAATACACCAGGACCAATAGAAATCCCAGTTAAAAGGCCATTCGAAGAAGTAGTCCAACCAATTGAAGTTGTTTGAAAGCATTTTATCGACATCAAAGAAAACAATAAAAATACAGCACTCCGTTTATTTAACCCAAAATGAGTGCTTAGCAATTGATTAGCCAGTGAAACGTTAATGTTACTTTCTTATATACGTTTAAACAACACTATGAATGGTAATGTGTATATTGCGTTAATATTTTTATTAACTATATCAATAAATTTCAAAATAAAATTTTATTTTAAAAAAATTAACAGAACAATAAATCAGATTCATTTTTCTCGTGGGGGAAAAACCAAATACTTAATTAATCAGTTTTTTGGTTTACTTTAGCCCTCGTATAACTTATTGTAATCTGTTTTCGTTCATCGTCATCTATCGCATTTCCTGTGCTGTCTCTTGCATAGTTATCCATTAGCCTTTTAACGTGGTGGTTACCCCACCCTTAACACCAGAGATTTAAAAATCGTCAAAAAAAATTCACTAAAAGAGAAATTGACATGTACCCCGAAAAAGTCGTCGATCAGGAACAGTAATATATAAATGTTATTTTTTGTTTTCGTTATTGTTCGGTTTTTAATTATATATCCTTATTAGTGTCAATTATTTGACTCTTGCATTCAGTTATCTTTTAGAGCCTTGCTGGACTAAACGGATGAATGAAAGCATATTTTCACACTTCTAAATGTCGATGAATAAGCGACTTTACTTCAGAAAATGAAGCATCTAAATGTACGAGTACCCAAAATATCATTCAATCACCGTAGTCATTAATTTCGAATGTAATGTTGAAGAAAGATATTTTGTTGTTCCATTAAAAATGTATAATCTACATAGGTGTTTTTGATTTACAAGTTTTACTAAGTATTGACTAAGAATGTCCTTTATAAGAAAAACGGTAGTTTTCTAGTAAGGCTTTGCTTCATAGTCGGTACTCCCGGGTTTGATTGTTTTTCATCGCGCCGCTCAGATCTGAAACGTAAACGTAGACCATGACTGTTTCTTCGCCAGTCACCCTGTACTAGAACTAGAGGCAAAATTGTGGATTTTAAATCTTCACAGGCTATGAATGCTGATTAAAGTCTAAATTTGAAGGCTTTCATCGGTAGGTCGCCCCATCTCAATATGAATGAAAAGTTCTCGAACTGAACGTGAAACAACATGCAATTAATCTTTCAATCAAAATTTATTATGTATACTTGACCCGCCTGCGACCAAACCACACTTGTTGTTTACCAGAGTTGTGCATTTCTATCTTTTAAAAATGGAAGCATTACGAATTAGAACGCGAAGAGACCTCGAATATTTTAGCTTCCAATAAGTATTGAAACACAGTAGTTAAAGTTTTTACCGAATATATTCTTGTCTATGTATATACATATTTTCAACATCTTCAGCTAATTTGCAAAATTTCTACTATTTTTAATATTAGCAATTAAATCTGATAATTTCATGGGCTGCACCGCCCTTGAGCGTAAGGAGTGTGTGTAACTACTTACATACATTGAAATTCATCTCACTCCTATATATAAACATAGATAAGAAGACAAATCGCATGAGAATGATATTGATCACAAAGTTTGACTTAGTCTAAAATTGAGTTCCATCTGACCAGCTTTTCTGATGCGGTTTAGGGATTATATTAGGTGGAACATATGGAGATAACGAACACTATTCAAGTTCAAAAGTCAATAAAACAAAAAATAGGAGCAGAGCAAACATGGACCTCCAAAACATCAGAGAAGAGATTGGGTGCTTTGGAGAAATGACCATTCCCTGTCACAACTGTAGTGTGCTCCTTGTCATGATCGGGAAAAAACCGGAAAATCTCTCGTCAACTCAGTACTCTGTATATAAATAATTGCCTACCAATTAGTATGAAAAACGTCAATCAGCACTTAACTCGATGATAATGATAGGTCTAATCTGAAGAAAGTAAAATCGTGATACTCAGCCGACCGTTAATGCCAAGAGGACCTTATTTCAACCACCTGAATGATTCATGTGGCCTTCTGTTATCCTCCCTCTGCAAACAAGCAAATATGTTAAAAGAAATAATGATCCACGAAGGAAAAGAACTGATCAGTTCATTTTGAAATATTCTGAAGTAAATATAAAACAGATCTTTATGTTTTAGCATAAAAATATGTGGTTTTAGAGACCAGGCCTTCCAATAATCTGTCGGAATTCAATGGATAACATTTGTGCCGCGTTATTTACAGAACTATTTTTTTTTGGTAATTGTCGCATAACGGATAATTTTAGTGGCGTGCAAACTTTGGATTATGTTGGTGGTTTTGAAGTAAACAGCTTCAATTTTAATCGCCAAATTTAAACCCTAGATTATTAATACTCAATACAGAAAAAAAAATCACATATAAATTTGATAAATATGTTTTATAAGCAGTACAATTTTCATCTTGTATTCTTTTTCCTCAAACTTTTGTGCAAATCAGTATTCAAACGTGTGTTTTCTTTTTAAATTCATTCATTTATGTAAATATTGTATAGTACATTAATACAAGGATCAATAATTTAAGCCGTCTTGTATAAATCTGTAAAATCATACATAATAAGCAGTGCCGAAATAATATAAATAATATAAAGCAAGATTTATTCAAATCTTTAACATGAGAAGACGAAAACACTTGATGTGACCTTCAGCCTGACATTTAGATTATCAATTAATAATACTTTCAACGGCGTATTATCAATCTATTAACAACAATAGTTTCTTCGATTCATATACAGACATGATGTATCCCACCGAGCTTGAAATGAAAGACACCAAAGAGTCTGGCACATTTGTTTGCTAAAGTATACAAGAAAAAGACTTTAATGGTTAACTAACAATAAATATTTTTTGATTAACGTGATGACTTAAACTTTTCAATCATCAAACTTATGTAGCAATATACCCTTACTACTGACATATTTAAAATTGACTATGGAATTTTTCGTTTAGCTCAACAGTACATAGGATTTACGGCGGGTGCATGTGACTTATAACAGAAGACCCTTTGGAGTTTCCTCGGGGTCTCTGTTTTATGCCCTATTTACAGGTTTTTATTATTTATTTTTTTCCCAATCAAAGTTCGTTTTCTTCACCTATTTGATTTATGATTGTATTTAAAACAAATTACAAGAAGACTGTAAAATCCGGGGCATCGTGGAAGGAAAATCAAGACATGTACATCTATCCTTATGTTCATTAATGGTTCGCGTTGAAGAGTGGTTTTAAAGGGTTCATGTCAAAGTACTTTCATCTCTTTTAAAAAAATGATTTGCCACTTTTTATTCAGAACCTTTCTTTTCGCAAGAAGTGGTAGTAAAATCAAAACTTGTTTTTTCATTAAAAAAAAATTACAAAAGAATGAGAGAATACGTGCATAAATAATCGGTACATTAGAAAAGAAACTAACCCTAACCAAACCCCTATTTCTGACGTTTCTAGTTTTCCTTTTCTACTCTAATCGAAAACTTAAATTATAATTAAAAACGGGTTAAAAACGAAAGACAATAGTTAAAGGAAAGACTTATACCACAGTTTTTCCAGAGGGTCTTGTGTTTTGTCAAATATAAGAGCTTTTGTTTTTTTTTTTACTATGAGGTTATCATAAGCTTGACATCACAAAAATTTTCTAAAATTTATTGACATTTCCTTTTATAAATAAACAAATATTGATCAAGTACATTAGCATCTTAGAAAAAAGATTATAAATAGAAAGATAGGAACCATTCATTAATAAGCAATTTATGATATAAAGCACTGAGAATTTTCTGGAAGTTTTTTTTTATTTTTAACTTTGAAAATTTCCTTATTTTGCTGGCAGAGGACCCTACTGCATGCTATAAAATTTGAGAGACGAAGAGTTTAAAGAAGAAATTATTACTAGGATTTATGCAACAATTCCAAAATGTAAACATCCGAAAGATAAATTCACTATTTTGTCTATTCTATAAAGGAATGACGCATAAAAACTTAACAAATACCGTTTTGAAGATTTTCAAAAATTTCCAATTTGACAACAGCGTTTAATACAAAAATAAACAGTAGAAAATATTCCTAGATTTGGTCATCTAATTCGCTCGATAAACCAAAAGCTTCCGAAGATTAATTTAAATAAAAAAAAAGTAGAAAAAAATGTAAAGCTTATGTTTTGTAGCAAAGAGAGACAACTATCAATTGCTGTTATAAACATTCCCTTGATGTTCTCCCATGCAGAGACTACACTGACGCTGTTATGTTTAAGAATATAATCTAAAGCTTCTGTCAATATAGCTTTTTCTGCCAGAAATGTATTTATTTAATATTACTTATGAATATTTTTCATATACAACTAATTTAAGATGATTTTTTTTTTATTTGCAACATGCCGTTTAAATAAACTTATTTTTGGCTTGGGTTAATAAATTAATCTTTACTCAACTGAAGTGAAACAGGATATGTAAAATATGTTCAAAACAATTTTGGACGAAAATACTCACGTCGCCATAAAGATGAAAAAATATTAGAATAATTAATTACTGATACTATCTTTTACATCCACATTAAACCTTTTTAGTATACTTAATAGCTTGTTTCACTTGTCAAAAAATACAATACAACTACTTAAGTTTTAGTACAAGTAATCAATGGATAGCAACATGATTGTTGTACAAACTTTTGAGAATACATTTGGGAATTAAAGAGGAGAAATCACATATTTTTATGTTGTGATTCTTGTTAAAACTTTTTGGATCTTATTTCAAGCTTAAAATCATTGCTAATCAATGTCTCGTGGAAAAGCATTATCAAATATGCTTTGATTTGATAGATTTGATATTGAATACTGTTCGTTATCTCCATATCCTTCATTTGAAAGATTGCAGAAGGATAACATATGATGTACTTTGTTTATTAGATCTAACTGTTATGTTTTCTTAATGCTTATCTTTTGGATAAATTTATCAACATGATAAAAACAAATAAGGATTGTTATAAAAATTTATAAATAGTCACAGTTCGTTATGAAATGCTTTATGGTGATTCAATTAAAAAGTATAATTGAAAAGCTATTATTATTTAAATTTATGGAGAAGATTTCATATTTGGCATTTATGAGAAATAGGGGGGATTTTTGTCTTATAGTGTTCTGAATGCAGTCAATTTTTTAATTTAAAACATGCCATACAATTATCACATTTTAACCTTCTCTTATAATGTGTTAATATTTTACATTTTTGACAGCTTTATTCATTCCTCTATGTTCGCTTTATTATCACAACTAGTTTGGATGTGTGAAGACCTAATCGTGACTTCACATACCTT